GGGGCAGTAGACACGCGAGTCCGGGTGGCCCCGGAAGCTTGGGCACCGAGGGAACCTGGTCTTAGCTGGTCCATACTGGGCGAGGAGCAAGTCCCGAGCTCTGACATGGCAAGCACTGAGGTTCTGTGCTCATTTTCTTTTAAAATATTTGTTTATTTGAAAGGCAGAGTTATGGAGAGGGAGAGGAGGGATCTGTCCACTGGAACTTCATCCCAGTCTCCCACATGGGCAGTACGGGTCCAGGCACTTGCATTGTCCTCTGCTGCCTTCCAGGCTCCTTAGCAGGAAGCTGGATCAGAAGCAGAGCAGCCGGGACTGGAAGCATGCTCCTGTATGAGAGGTTGGTGTCACAGTTCCAGCTTAACCGGCTCATCACACCGCCGGCCCCCAAAACATTGAAACGCGAAAGTGGTGCTTAACCTCACTCCTAAAATAAAGTGAAAAAGTACACCAAGAAGTCATGCTGGCGATAGTCTGTGCTCATCAGATGGGAGAAGGCTCAAAAGCTGTGGGCGAGGCCGGTCCTCTTCCCCAGCGTCCGTGCGAGGAGAAATGGGTGCGATTATGCAGTTAGATTGCAACCCCACCAAACCCAGAAATCCACCCAGCTGTGACTGGACCCTGCAGAGCCCGCTCCCCCATGTGAATGCTGTGTGTCTGGGAAGCCAGAGCTGAAATGTGACATCCATGAAGATGGGGCAGGGGGTTCTGTTGGCTGTCCCATTTCCCAAGTGTTGAGCAGGCCCTCAACACTTATCTGTTGGGTTGGATAAGTGAAAGAAAAATGCAGAAGAGTCTGAATTCTGCGCTTATGTTGCAAACAAATTCCAGACTGTGGAAAATTCCACAGAGAAATGGATTCTTCAATTAATCAATGGCAGGGGATTTAAAAAAATTTTTTTAAAGCAGAGACTAGAGAGAAGAACCTATAGCAGGGGTAGAGAACCATTTTTCTTTTTAAAGGTTTATTTCTTTGAAAGTCAAAGTTACACAGAGAGAGGAGAGGCAGAGAGACAGGTCTTCCGTCCGCTGGTTCACTCCCCAAATGGTCACAACAGCCGGAGCTGCGCCGATCCGAAGCCAGGAGCCAGGAGCTTCTTCCGGGTCTCCCACGCGGGTGCAGGGGCCCAAGAACTTGGGCCATTTTCTACTGCATAGGGAACCATTTTCTATCAAGGGCCATTTGGATATCAATGACATCATTCGCGGGCCATACAAAATGATCAACTTAATAATGAGCCTGCTACAGATTGATTGAATTTCAAGTCCCACCTGCATGGCTGCTGTGGCGGGGGCCAGACCCAATGATTTCACGGGCTTCATATGGCCCGGCTCATGGGCTGGATATTCCTCACTTCTGGAAAGGAACCTTAAAGACCTACAAGCGATTGCAACCCATAGACCTTCTGTGACTCCCAGTTCAAATAAACAAGATGTAAGGCCATGATGAGATATTTATGAGATAATTGGAAACGGGTATACTGACCACGTAATTGATGACACGAAGCAATTACTGTTCATTCTCAGGACTGGCTATTATATTTCAATCATGTCTTCAGTGTCTTCTTTTTGATGCATGTCCAGAAATATTTACAGACGAAACGCTGTGATGTCCGAGAGGGGACGGTGGGATGAGGATGAGACGGGAACATGGCGGTTCCAGTCTGGGATTCTGTCCACTGTGGTGTGCACTCACCACTTCCTCCTCAGAGATCCGTGGCTCGGGGGTTGCCAGAAAGAGCAAGAATGGCCGTGAGCGGCTGCATGGTTGGTGCTCCAGCAGCCTTGCCCTGATTGCTGTCAGCTGCGTGAGAGGAGCTGGACGTATTTATCTTAGAGAACATGGCTTCGGTCCACTCCCTGTTTGCGTTTCACGCGCCTTTATTTGAGAAGTGTGGTTGGAGGCCTCTGGAATTGGAAACAGCTGGGGCCTTTGAACCCCGAGTGCCTCTGCCCTGAGCCGTGATCACTCCCCTAGGCTGGCCCCGGGCTCCAGCTCCAGGGCGACCGAGGCGGTCAGGTGGTGGTCCTGCACCCTCCACCCCTGAGGCACCCTGAACCCCTACACTGCCCCTTGTAACTGCTCAGAACCTTCCAGACGCTCTGGCCATCTCCGGTGGGGACTTTGAATTCATTCATTCATTCAACAAATACATGCCAGCAGTGACCACCTACTCTCGGGGAGCTTGACTTCGAGTAGTGGGAGATACACAACAGGCAGCTACTCACCCCCTCCACAATTATCCGGGTAATTTCTGCTGGCCACCTGTACCACCAGGAACACAAAATAAGGAAGGTGTTGAGCAGACGATGTTGCTTGGGAAGCCTGCATCCCCTGTTGGAGTGCCTGAGACCCAGTCTCTCCTCTGCCTCCAATTCCCATACAAGTTCCTGCTCATGCGCCTAGGAGGCAGCAGGCGATGGCTCAAATACTGAGTTCCTGCCACGCATGTGGGGAGTCCCAGATGGAGTTCCTGGCTCCTGGCTTCGGGCCGGCCCAGCCCTGGCTACTGTGGTCCCGAACCAGTGGATGGAAGCCTTCTCTCTACCTAGCTCTCTCTGCCACTCTGCCTTCCCAGGAATAATAAGAACAAAGTATTTTGCCCAAAGATCAACCTGACAAATGAATGCCTTATTTCAGTCGGAAGACTGTTCTAATTACAGACACTAAGAAAGTGAGAGGCTCTAGGGTTAGGGTTTCACTCGGAATTTGGGTTTTTTGATGTGTGTGGGGAGGGTCTCATCTTTTGTAAAAAAAACACACCCTCACAACGCAGAGTGAGGGACCAGACTCCAACTTACTTCCTCCTGCTCCCTGCAGGAGTGTTGCCCAGCAGGGGGCTGGGCCACAACCAAGTGTCTTTCTGAGACCCTGAGGTCACCTCTTCAGTAGCACACAGACTGCAGGCGTCGGCGTTAGACTACAAAGCGCACAGGTACTCGGGTGCTGTTTGAGCGAGACCCTGTGTACAAAGATGAGCTGGGCTCAGCCGCTGGCTCTCGGTGATACCAAGCCAAGCCCCTGGCACACACACAGCATCGATTCTCCCCTCCGAGTCCCGGTCACCACCCGACCCAGCCGTGTCCCTCTGCCGGCACAGCTGTGACAATCAATCCGCCTGGCTCAGGGACTCACGGAAGGGCTTTATTCTCTTTTTTTCAAAGCAGAGGAGCAGTGAAGGTGCTGACCCAAGCCCTGACCCCGGTCACACACAGCGCCTGGGTTCAAATCCCAGCTCTGGTCCCAATTCTACCTTCTTGCTAAGGCACACCTGGGGAGGCAGCAGGTGATGGCTCAAATACTTGGGTTCCATGTGGGTGACCTGGATGCAGGGGCCCAAGCCCTTGGCCATCTTCCACTGCTTTCCCAGGCCATAGCAGAGAGCTGGATCGGAAGAGGTGCAGCCGGGACTTGAACCGGCGTCCATATGGGATGCTGGCGCTTCAGGCCAGGGTGTTAACCCACTGCGCCACAGCGGCGGCCCCTAGTTTTGTCTTTCAATGGATGTCTTCAAATGGCCTCTGGAAGCCGAAGCTCCCAGGGCCCGAGTCCTGTTTAGGATTAGAGCCTAATGATAGGACAAGGAAGTTGGATGTTTATTGTCTGTGATCGGGAGAGGGGACGTTCGAGGTAGAAAGTTCTGATCAAGGCCGGCGCCGCGGCTCAGTAGGCTAATCCTCCGCCTTGCGGCGCCGGCACACCGGGTGCTAGTCCTGGTCGGGGCGCCAGATCCTGTCCCGGTTGCCCCTCTTCCAGGCCAGCCCTCTGCTGTGGCCAGGGAGTGCAGTGGAGGATGGCCCAGGTGCTTGGGCCCTGCACCCCATGGGAGACCAGGAGAAGCACCAGGCTCCTGCCATCAGATCAGCGCCGTGCGCCGGCCGCAGCGCGCTGGCCGCGGCGGCCATTGGAGGGTGAACCAACGGAAAAGGAAGACCTGTCTCTCTGTCTCTCTCTCTCACTGTCCACTCTGCCTGTCAAAAAAAAAAAAAAAAAAAAGAAGAAAGTTCTGATCAAGGCCAAGCAGAGGAAGTCATGTTGGAAGAAACAATTTGCAGTCTGATGAGGATCTCGCCTCTGCCTTTGTCACGTCTCCCAAGTCTCCCCGTGGGTCCCCAGGCATGTGCATCCCTGGTGTCGTGCTGGTCACCCCCAACCCCGTCCTGGGCCATGAGGAGTTAAGGGACAAGATGGAGGGGAACCAGGCAGCCCGTGTCCTGGGACGCACTGAGTCCTTCAGAACCGACCTCCCGCGCCCTACCCCTTCCCACCCCTGTCACTTCTCTTCCTCCTGTCCTGTCCCTTGGTGACTCTCTACCCCCTCCTTCCCCTCCCTCCTGTGCCCCTGCCCTCTCTACTCTGCATCAAGCTTTCTCCCAGGGACCTGCAGTGGCTCTGTCCTCTGCAGAATTGTCAAGGTCATCAAAAATCAGGAAGAGGAAAAAACCAGGAAAAATGCAAAAAGACAAACAAGTGAGAGAAACTAGATGATAGCAGTGCATCAGCATTGGTAGGTGGGTGTGGGCATGTGCACTCATGGCAAGTTTTTAGAAACTCTGAAGCTAGTCTGAAAATCAAAGGCTTTACAATAATAATGATGATGATACCACAATTCGTATCTCCCTCAGTTCTCTCTCCCCAAACCAAAAATCCACTTCTGTTTGTGCGAGGGTTCCCATTAGCCCTGCTCAGAGGTTCCCCCCTTCCCCAGCCCCCAGCATGGTCTGGCTGGCGCCCAGCCCTGCTGTCTGGGGTATCTCCTGTAGCCCCTGGATCTTCAGCCCCTGTCCAGCTATCAGTGACCTTTGTTCCATGGCTTTCTGAGATTTTCACGGCATCCACCCCCACCCCGTCCTCATCCCAAGGTCAGGGTCACCGTGACATCACCGACCAGCCATTTGCAGCCACCCAGCACCACTGGCCTGTGGCAGGTTGTTCCTTACCTCACACAACAGCCTGATGACTTTTTTAAAAGCAGATTATCATAAAAATATCCTTTTAGGGGCCGGTGCTGTGGTGTAGTGGGTAAAGTCGCCGTCTGCAGTGCCAGCATCCCATATGAGCGCCAGTTCAAGTCCCAGCTGCTCCACTTCCGATCCAGCTCTCTGCTGTGGCCTGGGAAAGCAGTAGAAGATAGCCCAAGTCCTTGGGTCCCTGCACCCACATGGGAGACCCAGAAGAAGCTCCTGGTTCCTGGCTTCGGATCGTCTCAGCTCCAGGCCATTGTGGCCAATTGGGGAGTGAACCAGTGGATGGAAGATTCTCTCTCTCTCTCTCTCTCTGCCTCTGCCTCTCTGTAACTCTGCCTTTAAAATAAATAAATAAATCTTTTAACAAATACATCCTTTTAAAGCAGTTTTGGGTTTGGGTGCCTCTCGTGTTTGGACTTCACGGTGGCCGCGAGTGACATGTGTCAGCGACCGGGACTCCTATGTGCCTGCCTTTTCCCTTGAGGGTCTCAACCAGAGGTTATGCGGTTAGGAGCTCGGACAAGCCCGGTTGGAAAGGAAGATTGGATTTTTGTTTAACAGAATGTCCCTGCCCCACAGGACTCATTTGTGTGTGAGAAGCCGCTGCCACTGAGCTAATTAGGAGCCATTGATCGAATGCTTAGGGTGCAAAGCCAGGCAGAAGTCTGGGGAAGGATGAAGTTTGGTTTTAACGATCGCTTCATTTATTTGAAAGACAGAGAAGGAGAGACAAAGAGAAAGAAAGAGTTTCCCTGCACTGGGTCACTCTGCAAGTGGCTGCAATGGCTGGGGCTGGGCCAGGTGGAAGCCAGGAGCCAGGAACTCCACCCAGGGACCTAACCTAAGCACTTGCGCCATCCTCCGCTGCTTTCCCAGACACATTAGCAGGGAGCTGGATTGGAAGCGGAGCAACCGGGACTCGAACTGATATCTGTATGCGATGCGGCCGTTGCAGATGGCGGCTTAGCCCACTGCGCCACAAGCAGATGAAAGCGTGGGCTCACCACTGCTCATAAAGCATTTGGAGACTGCGTGGGACAGAGGCCTCGGTGGGCCTCCCACCATGCCAGCCACAGCTGTGTGGAACACTCGCCTCCTACCGACTCCCGGAAGCAGGGGGAGCTGGTGGCAGGTGCTGAGAACCCCAGGAATGGTGCTGTCCGGGTGTTGCGGGTGGGCAGGCCTCTCCCCAGCTCCCTCCCTCTGCTGGGAGGGAGAGCAGCAAGATGTGGGAGAATGTGCAATGGCGCCTGCTCTGAGCTGTTTACCCAGTGAGGCCCAGGGGGCTTCTCCTTCCTCTCTGACACTCTCCAGGTCTCCTGGGAGGTGACTCGCTGTCCTGCTGTGTCCTTGGAGATAAGAGAATCCCTGACTTATCTGCATAAGAGCAGCTAACTCCACAAAGTGTCTCTGCCCGGATCCCCCTTGGGAGGCAAAGCAGGGCCTTCTGGAGCCCCAGCCAGACACTGACGTGCGACCAGGGCGTCTGGTGTCCTGGAGGATTTTATAGGCACAGTCCTAAACAGTCCCAACCCTGCACCGTGGCCTGTGGGAAAGCCTCAAGGGACAGAGAGGTCGCTCAGAGCACAGCGCAGAGCTGGATGTCCAAGCACGGCCGAGGCAACCCCTGTGGATTCTCAGATTCTTCTTCTGCAAGAGAGATCCCACCGACACAGCGTGGCAGTTCTTGCCACAGCCCGAGCCACGGCTGGAGCGGTTTGGTGATCTGGGGACACTCCCGTGGCTGCCCCACACGGCTCTCGGGCTGAGATGGTCTCTCCGACTGGTGACAAAGAGGTGACGGTGCATTGCTGTTACAGACAAGCACCTTACTGTGGATATTCGGTTTTGCAGGCAGGCATTGGAGCGTGGGGCTTTAAGCTGTGGGGCCTTTCCCAGCCCCCTTCCCGCAGTGTCCCATTTATAAGAATAACTCGATTTAGGGTCCTGGGCCTCCGGCACTGTGATAGAACCGGCTGCTGGACCACCAGGGTTCTGGTACCTGGTGACGGTGGCCCTGGGACAGATCTGGGTTTGTTCAGGAAGCCAGGGAGCAAGGTGGAGAGTGGCCTTGGATGAGGGTGGGCAGTGAGCCAGGGAAGAAGTCTGGAATATTCATTTTTTAAAATATTTACTTATTTATTAGAAAGTCAGAGTTACACAGAGAGAGGAGAAGCAGAGAGAGAGAGAGAAAGGTCCTCCATCTGATGGCTCACTCCCCAATTGGCCGAAACGGCTGGAGCTGTGCTCATCCGAAGCCAGGAGCCAGGAGCTTTCTCCAGGTCTCTCATGCAGGTGCAGGGGCCCAAGCCCTTGGACCATCTTCTACTGCTTTCCCAGGCCATAGCAGAGAGCTGGATCAGAAGTGGAGCAGCCGGGTCTCAAACCAGTGCCCATAGGGATGCTGGGACTTCAGGCCAGGGAGTTAACCTGCTGCGCCACAGCGCTGGCCCCAAAGTCTGGAATATTCTAAGTACAATGGGAAGCCATGGAGCTGTTTCAAGCAGGGAATACAGTGACATACTTTTGATTTAATTTTTTTAGTTATGAATTTTCATTTTATTTGAAAGGTAGAGAATGAGGGTGGAGGAGAGATTTCCTATATGTTGGTTCTCTCCCCAAATGGCCACACAATCCAGGGCTGGGCCAGGCCAAAGCCAGGCACTCAGGCCTCCATCCAGGTCTCCCATGTGGGTGGCAGGGACCCAAGTACTTGAACCATCACCTGCTGTCTCCAGAGTGCACATGGGCAGGATTGGACTCACTCAGATATGACGGGCAGGCGTTCCAAGTGGAGACTTTAATTGCTGGGCCCAAGGCCCACCCCACGTGAGTGTGTCTTTAGGAGACCATTGCTTCGTGGGAGAGGAAGCAAGTGGAGATGCCGTGCAGAAGCATAAGAGTGAGTCAGCAGAGGCGTGGCCAGGGAGATGAAGGTCAACAGCGCCCAGCAAGGGGCCCTGGGCGGACAGCAGCTGGTGTCTGGTGCTGTGGCTCAGACGCTGTGTGGGCAGCCCATGTCCCGTGTCACAGCACCTGGGTTTGAGCCGTGGCTCTGCCCCCAGTTGCTGGTCTGAGCCAGAGGACTGGACGGAGATGATCGGGGAGAAACAGACGTGCACCAGGGCCGGAGAAGCCGGGGTTCCGTCTGGACCATGCTCGCTGTGTGGTGGCTATGGATTGTTCCGGGAGAAATCTTAGGCAGGAAGTGGAGTATACAGAGGCGTGGCCCAGGAGAGACATTCGGGCTGGAGACGGAATGGGGGGAACCGTGGTGGACATTGTATAGAGCCCGGGTCCCTGCGGGACAGGGGAAGGAGAACACAGAGACGTTCCGACGTTGAGAGGTCGAGGAGAGGGGACAGACAGGACAAGTTAGGAGAGTGTGTGGCCCTGAAGGGCAGGAGAGGGGAGGGCCCACAGGACGGGCACTCCCGGGAAACCCGCTAGCATGAGGCTGGCTGGTTCAGCAACAGGGAACTGGCCGGGGGCAGGCTCACGTGCACCGTGCAGGACTGGATGCTTCCAAATCAGCTCCAGAAGGGATAAAGCAAAAGCATCCGGGCGAGACTGTGGAATTATTACAAGCGAGCACAGGGAAGATCTTTCATCACGCAGGGTCAGGGAGCCATTAAAAACGGTCAAAATCGAAACACACACAAATTAATCAATCCGATGCCACATCAAAGTGGAAAGCTTCTGTATGACCAGAAAATCATCAACACGCTCCAGAAAACTGTGCGGTTCGAGAGATTTTGATACGTCAGGATTTGCCCTCGTGTTTTTGCAATATATACAATAGAAGGATTCATATTCAAGATTTAAAAAAATCTAAGAATCAATGTTTAAAAAGATAAGCAGGGGGGTGGGCGTTTGGTCCTGTGGTTAAGGCCACTGGGGACACCCACGTCCCATATCTGAGAACCCGGGTCCAAGCCCTGGGTCCATTCCCACTTCCTGCTTCCTGATGCATACTCTGGGGGGCAGCAAGTCCTTCGGTCCCGCCACCCTCATGGGAGCCCCAAAACGAGTTCCAGGCTCCCTGTTTCGGCCTGGCCCAGCCCTGGCTGTTGCAGGAATTTGGGAAGTGAACGAGCAAATGAGTTGTTTGTAGGTCTCTGTCGTTCTGCCTTTCAAATAGATCATCTTTAAAGGATTAAATATGCAAAAGATACAGAAAGGCACGGGAGGAAAGCCACGTGGCTGATAAATCCTCGCATGGAAAGATGTTTACCTTCGTTAATGAGCAGCGATGAATTCAGATCAGTGCTGGTCAGGAGGAGGGGCCTGGCCCTTCTCCCACATGGTGGAGCCGTGGAGGACAATTAGGCAATCCCGGTTAGCAAAATCCACCCTGTGTAATACCATACGCCTTCCAGAAGCACACGTATGGAGAAGGTTGCGTTTGTAATAGAGAAACACAGTCAAGGTAGCCACCACGTTGGAGTCCTTCCTAGAGCTTGGAATCTTTTTGTAAGCTCTCAGGGAAATGAGCTGTTTGGGACTGCAGACGGAGGGTCCCGGTTTCTCACTGGCTGTCAGATAGAAGCTTCTGGAAGCCACCTGCAGACCCTGATGCATGGCTGCATCACAACACAGCAGCTCTGGCACTCCAGGCCCCCAGGAGATGGTCTCCCTGCAGGCGGCTGAGATGTGGCGTCCTCAAGGGAGTGACTCCTCTATAAGGCCAAAGGGGATAACATCAAAGAAATTAATTCAGTGAGGAAAGTTCATCTGGCCTGCTGTGTAGACAAGACTATGCTTATGAATGTAGTTGACTTCATAGGAGCTTAGGAAATTCTTAATGGGGAAATTCCAGCAAATTCCAAAAAACCAAATAGATAAAAACCAAACTGATCTAATTGGTTTTTATTCATAGTTCATGAACAGGAGCAGCCTCCACTCTACAAGGTGAGACGAGAGCCAGCACCAGGCATTGATGGCACTCCGGATTTTGTAAAGTGGGGACAAGCTCAAGGCTGGTTGGTTTACATCAACTTACTTCCAGGTGCCCTTTGGTAAGGGTTCAAGTGGAGATGAGGTGGGGGGCTTCCTTATACTGACGCGTTAGACTGGAATCTTCTGTCTCTGGGAACAGCTGGTCTGTTTAGGGACGCATTTGCTTCCTTCACGTTTCACGTTCTGATCACGGGACATTCAGCATGAGTGACTCGGTCCTGGTGGGGCCTGGTCTGCTGGGGCCTTGGGCGGGGGCTCAGCCCATCAATCGTGGGTTCACAGTGGTATCAGGACTCCGTGTGCTTTGACTTCAAAGTCTAGAAAAGATTGACTTACAGATCAAAAGCCTTCCTTTTTGATCAGACCTAAAAAAGCAACCAACATGAACTCAGCTAAGCTATGAAAATAA